TCCCCCGTTCCGCCTCTTCTTAATATTTCCCGCCATCCTCCCCGAAGTGTTCAACGAAGGGTGTCCACAACGGTTTGGGGAACACTTGGCCCGATACCTTGGCAGAGTTCTCGCCACAACGCCCGGCCACGTGGGCGATTCTAGCAGGCGGGGGGGGGGCGGTTATTTGCCGTAGGCGTTTTAGATAACAGATCATTACAGGTCACGTCAATGCATACCAAGGCAGGGATCGGCCTGACATATTACAACATATCATAAACTAACATCGCAGAGTGCAGGCACAGAGTAAAGCATAACATGGTATGGCACCACACAAGATAACATAACGCGGCATAGCTACCCATATCGGATCGGATCGGACCCCTCGGAGGCAGCGGGCTCGCGATGGTCAGCAAACACAGAGTGTCTCTAGGATCGGGCTACACCCGAGGATATACCGCGCAGTCACACACTGACGGAAAAAACGCACCGCGGGCCTTGACGCCTCCACGCTCCTGCCCATATCATTCAAGCTACAGTCGCGCATGCGAGCTCCCGATCGGGGCGGACGGGGCGTCAGCCACCAGGAAGAAAAACAAGAAAACTAAACGTGCAGAAATGCGGATGAATCTCAATGCACTCAGTGCTCGCGACAGCTCGCAAGGCCGCGCCGCACACGCCCCACTCTCTATCCACGTTTTTCCGCGTTCCTGCCGACACCTCGCAAAATTAAGAAATGTTTCACGAGGTCGCACACGCTGTAAGCCACATCGTTGCAGCACTCGCGAAGTTGCTCCAAGTCGCGCGGGACGCCGCACGACCCGCTGTTCTCGCACATCTTCGCGCGCATCAGCACGTCCTCGGTCGCCGGGGCGCGGCGGCGAATCAGCTCCGCGGGTTGGGCGCGGTGAGTCGGGCCCTCCAGCGCGCCGCCCTCGAACTCCTTCAGGTTGATCATCTCGCCCTCATCCTCGGCGGCGTGGAGGCGCAACAATTCCGCGATCTTGGCGCAATGAGTCGGGCCCTCCGTGACGCCCAGTTTGAGGCGCAGGCCGCACAGCGTGTAGAAGTACTTGTAGTCGTCCTGTTCCTCGGAGATCCCTGCGAACATCTCGAGACACACAGTTACGAGCTTCTCCTGGATCGTACGCCAGTCCTGTTGCAGAAGGTCAAATCGCTCATCAACGGTCTCCGATGTGAACGTCGGCAGAACCACAATGTCCACCGCGCCCTGCACAAAGCGCAGCCAATCGGGCAAGAGCCCGTCGCTGACATCAGTTACGCAGACGCCTTTTCACGAATCGCTTCATGCTGTCGCACTTCTTCTGAGACTCGTGCAGCTCGGCGGTGGCGTGGCGGGGCACGTAGAGCAGCGCGCGAAAAACGACGTTCCCACCAGCAGTGAAGCGCTTCACCGCAATGCGTTCCCCCCCTCCGCAAGACGAGGACACGCGGAAGGAGGCGCACCCCTCATAGATCACGTCCTCGGGCATGCGCGTGCACAAGGCCGTGGAAATTTTGAACTGCTGCTTCTCGCGCGATACTTCCCACGCTCGTGCCGTCTGCATGTTCCTCTCCTCCGGGTCCTTTGCAGTGTCAACTCCCTCGTCCGTCGCCACCTCGTTTTCGGAGACCTCCTCCACTGGGTGCAGACCGGGCGGCGGGGGAGTCAGCTGATCGCGGAGGATGGTGATGCTGGCCTGTTGTGCGTGTCGAGCGTGAGTACGTCGTATACGCATGCGCCTTCGTGAGCTGGAAGAGGCACCAGGCAAGGTCACACAGGCATCGGCGGCCCAGCGGCACATCATGGCGCAGCACAACACGAAACAAGAACAGGAATTGAGACGCATGCAAGCCGTCAGTGTGTGACAAGAAAGCCCGAACTGCGGGGCATGGGCATGTGCGTCCCCGCTCTGGAGACCTCAACATGCTTGGGCCAAAACTGGATGTCCCATATATGTGTATATATGTATGAAACAAACAAAAATAACACACCATAGCATAACACACCAGTGCCGAACACCGCACAACATAAGACAGCATAACAGCGCATGCAATGACAAAGTTGGGCATACATAGCAGAGCATAAGCCACACATCGTAACATGCCAGAAAATAGCATAGCGCAACATGACAAAATACCATGTCATGGAATAACTGATCATAACATAGCACAACACCAAGTAACATGAAAGGTCATACCATGGCACAGCACATCATGCCCAAGCGCGGCAAAGCATACGACATACAATCAGAAAACAACACTGCATACTACCGCTTCATAACACAGCAGGACATCACATGCAACGACAGGACATATCCCAACATAGTACAGCATACCAACGCGCGCAAGGAAAAAACGTTGACAAAACATGACGCAACAAAACATCATGCAATAATAGAACAAACATACCATGATAGAACATCTGAGGAAGCGCGATCCACCGTCGCTGGACTGCAAATTTTCCCTACGGGGGGGGGTCAACAGAGAGGGGCCCCTCCCCCCGTGAAAAAAAAATCCATCCCCGCCCCCCCCCCCTCCCTTCGGGAAAACTAAGTGGGGGGTTCAAACACCCCCCCTGGGCAAATTAGCAGCAGAAGGGGGTCCGCCCCCCCCCCCCCCCGCCCCAGGAAAAATAGCGGGGGGAGTCCAAAACCCGCCCCACCCCCCCTCCTGGAAAATCATTTGGGGGATCCACAGCCCCCCCACCCGAAGACAACGACGACGACGACGACAACGACGACGAAGACGGCGACGACTGACGACGACGACGATGACGACGACGGCGACGGCGACGGCGACGGCGACGGCGACGACGACGACGACGACGACGACATCGGCGGCCGCGGCGCACCTGTCGCCAGCGCCCGCGCCAAGCGTCGGCTCTTGCGGAATGCTGCTAGAGCTCGATGTAGCTCTCTCAATGTACTACGAGGGCCTACTGTACTCTACGCGGCTCTGCCCTACTCTACTTTACTCGGCGTTCCTCTACTCTTCTCTACTCTGCCCTACTTTATTCGACCCTATCCTAAGCTAATCTACCGTCCTCTAACATACAACACTCTACGCCATTATGCTCATATTAGATTATAGCTCTACACTTTCTCTACTGCACTATACTCTCCTCAACTCTGCTCTACTCTACCCTACTCAGCCCTACTCTATTCGACCCAACTTTACCATACCGTACCCAAACATACTCTACAACACTCTTCTTTGCTCCTACCCTGCCCTACTCTACTCATACTCTCTACTGAGCCCTGCCTTGCTGTATTTCGGACCTTTCTTTTTCAATGAAATGCTTGGAGGAGAAGGAGGAAAGCTGAGGGGACGAAGCAGACATAATCGAAGACCCCGCATGCCGTCAAAACCAGTGCTCGGACATCCTAAGGTTCAACACCTAGAGCAGCTATCCGGCCAACCTGTCAAAGGCGAGCCGTTGTACGCATCCGGCAAACTGGCAAGAGTACAGGTTTGTAAATCTGAGTTCAAGCTCCGTGAATTACCACGCACCTAAAAGATCAAGATAACTACCAACGCCGAGAAGAAGGAGGGGCAGGAGGAGGGGCAAAAAGGTAAATACCAAACGCCCGTCGCGTCAGCTTCAACGCCAGCGCGCTTACAGCGCCATGGACTCTTCCACCACCTCGCACAAAAATGTGGTATGAAACGCATGGGGACGCTCGACAGCCTGAGGAACCCGGCCCGAGGCAGGACCAGTAGGGCGGGAGGAGGAAGGGGGCAGAAAAGCAAGGTGCACTGAGATTGCAGTGCGTCCGCGCTGTGCCGAGAAGGACGCAGCATGCCGAAAACACTCAAGGTCAAAACATGGCCGCGCTATGATCGCAGGCGGCAGGCAAAAGAAGACAGAGCGGGCTCGTTGGCGACTCCCTGGTCAGGGAGCGGTCGGCGAGACTGGGGGGCCCTCCACCAGCCACCTCCGCGTGCACCCGCTCGAACGCCAATTACCGCACGGAGGGCGACTCCGTACCACGAGTGAGGAGGAGAGCCGAGGACGAACGAAGGAGGGAAGGAAGGCAGGACACTACGGGCTGAGTGCGACTGCCTGGCTAGGGAGCGGCCGGCAAGACTGGGAGGCCCAGCACTAGGCCCCCTCCACGTGCAGCCAGCGCGATCGCCAAGTCGGGGGGAAAAAGGACGAGGCAGGCAAAGGAGGCGGAGAGCCGGCCCACCGCCTGTGGGAGGCAAGAGCGGGAGGAAAGAGACGAGGGGGAAGGGCAGCTCGAATCGGCTGCTCCGTGCACCGCGCCCCAAAACTCCACCGGCCACGCGGCCGGGGCGTGTGTGGCGGCATCTACTGGCACCCATCTACGCTTCTCTACACGACCCTGGCTGCCCTAATCTACCCTACCTGCTCTACTGTACCGTACTCCAACATACTCTACTGTACTCCACCTTTCTCTTCCTCTAGTTTACCCTAGTCCTTCTCACCTCCAATGTACTCTCCCCTACTCTACTCTACTCCACTCTGCTCTACTCTGCCCTACTCTACCCTGTTCTACGACACCATACCCCAAACATAGTCTACTCTACTCGAATGTGCGTCTAATCGACTCTACTCCTACTCTACTCCTACTCTACTCGATCAAGTTATGCTATCAAATAAAATGTATGTTCGATTATACCCATATACTCCTCTCTACTCGACTCCTTCTCTACTCTAATATGTTATACACCTCCAAACTCTACTCTACTCTATCCTACTCTACTTTATCCTACCGTACCCCACCCTACTCTACTCGACTCTACTCTACCCTCTACTCTAAACCAACTATACTCTGCTCTACGCCTACTCTACTCTGCTCGTTGCCGTCGTCTTCATCATCTCCGTCGTCGTCGCGGCCGTCGTCGACGTCGTCGTCAGCGTCGTGATCGTCAGCGTCGTCGACGCGGTCGTCGCCGTCGTCGGCGTCGTCGTCGTCGGCGTCGTCGTCGTCGGCGTCGTCGTCGGCGTCGGCGTCGGTGTCGTCGTCGTCGTCGTCGGCGCCGCCGTCGTCGTCGTCGTCAACGCCGTCGTGGTCATCGGCGTCGCCGTCGCCCTCGCCGTCGCCGTCGGCGTCGCCGTCCTCGTCGTCATCGTCGGCGGCGTCGTCGTCGGCGTCGGCGTCGTCGGCGCTGGCGTCGTCGTCATCGTCTTGCGTCGTGTGAGGTGCGTCGTGTGTCGTGCGTCGTCATCATCGTCGTCATGGCTGTCGTCATCGTCGGCGTCGTCATCGTCATCGCCGTCACCATCGTCGTCGGCGGTGTCGGCGTCGGCCTCGTCGATGTCGTCGTCGTCGTCGTCGTCGGCGTCGCCGTCGTCGTCGTCGTCGTCAACGCCGTCGTGGTCGTCGGCGTCGCCGTCGCCCTCGCCGTCGCCGTCGGCGTCGCCGTCCTCGTCGTCGTCATCGTCGGCGTCGTCGTCGGCGTCGGCGTCGTCGGCGCTGGCGTCGTCATCATCGTCTTGCGTCGTGTGCCGTGCGTCGTGTGTCGTGCGTCGTCATCATCGTCGTCATGGCTGTCGTCGTCGTCATCGTGGGCATCGTCATCGCCATCGCCGTCGACATCGTCGTCGTCGGCGTCGGCGTCGGCGTCGTCGTGGTCAGCGTCGTCGACGTCGTCGTCGTCGGCGTCGGCGTCGACGTCGTCGTCGGCGTCGTCGTCGGCGTCGTCAAAGTCGTCGCCGGCGTCAATCAACGTCGTCGTCGTCGGCGTCGGCGTCGGCGTCGTCGTCGTTGTCGTCGTCGTCGTCGGCGCCGTGATCGTCGTAGTCGTCGGCGTCGGCGTCGGCGTAGTCAGCGTCGTCGTCGGCGTCGGCGGCGTCGTCGTCGTTGTCATTGTCGTCGCTGCCGTTGCCCAGCGTCGTCGTTGTCTTCGGCGTCGGCGTCGGCGTCGGCGTCGGCGCCGGTGTCGTCGTCGTGTGTCGTGCGTCGTGCGTCGCTGCGTCATGAGCGGTGCGTCGTCGTCGTCGTCATCGTCGGCGTCGCGTACAAGAATGAACTGAGCCATCGCGTGAGCATTAGTGTACAAGAATGTACAAAAATGAACTGAGCCATCGAGTGAACATTACCACTGGACCTCACCCGATATGAAACAAACTGACATAACATA